CTGAGCGTCCTCCCGAGCGTGGGCTGCAGCAGCCGGAGGGCAGCGGCCGCCTCCCGGGAGAGGGACTCCAGAGTTTCGTCAGGGTCGAGTTCCTGCATGAGCAGGGCGGTGGCCTGCATCAAGTGCTGCATGCACTGCAGCAAGGCCGTGTGGGGCCAGGACGTGGCCAGGGGCAGCTCCGGCTCCATGGAAAAGCAGCAGCGGCCCAACCAGCACAGGGCAACCCAGCAGGGACTGCGAGAGCTTTGCTGCCCCTGGCAGAGGTAGCAAGCAGGCAGCAGCAGCAGCAGAGACACAGCTGAGCAGAGCGGTCCCTTTCAGGATGTCTCTCTGCAGGCCTCCGGTGCCAGCCCTCGGAAGCAGCTGGCGACCTTCTGCCCTGCCTGAAATGCTTCCGGGTGGCCCTTCTTGCGGGAGAGCGGCCGTGCAGTGTAGACGTACTTTTGCGCAAAAAGTTTTTGCGAAAGATCCTGCAGGGAGGCCATCGAGTGGATTCGTATGACACCAGTGCCATCTAGTGGATCAATGTCAAAGCCCACAACTGCTTGGTGCAGTGTTTCTGTATCCTTAACAAAAGACAGGACTATGTAGCACTTTAAAGACTATCAAGATGGTTTATTAGGGGATGAGCTTTCGTGGGCCAGACCCACTGCCTCAGATCAAATAATGGAAGAAAATAGTCTGTATCCTTAGGGCCGTGTTTCCCAATTGGTGCTCCTGGGGATCCAGGAAGTGAAAGCAAGGGTTCCCCTCCCCCACCTCTTGTTAAAGAGACAGAGCCATGGCAAGGGCTTTTTTTTTTTTAAGGTAACTCTAGGGGTTCTGTGGCCAAATAAAATTGGGAAACACTGCCTTAGGGGGACCCGAGAGACATCTGGGGGGTACGTCAACACCACTGATGTTGGGAGAAAACTGAAGTTTTTGTCTTTATTTTTACAACTGCTTTCTGATTTTTGTACTTTTTACACCCCAACCCTTTATCGCCCGCCTGGCTACGATGAAGTTGTTTAAACAGATGTGTTGCAAGGGTAGACAAAATATGTGTGTGTCTGAAAACTGTAAGTACTGGGGGTACTTCTAATGGGTTTTTTTTTAGAAAAGGGGTACTTTATAAAAAATGGTTGAGAAACTCTGGTCTGGTAGCACTTTGTCCTACACCTGATGCCATCTAGTGGCTACAGACAAAAGCAGCAGAGAAACAAATTCCTCTATATCATCAATTCACAGACACTTACCTTCCTTCCTTCCCCCCCCCTGGATCCCCCTTTTTCTTTTCCAGACTAAACAAACCAAATCCTTTAATTGTATCCTTTGGTATATATGGCTGTGACTATTTTCTTCCACTATTTGATCTGAGGAAGTGGGTCTGGCCCACGAAAGCTCATCACCTAATAAACCATCTTGTTAGTCTTTAAATTGCTACATTGTCCTGCATTTTGCTTCAAATTCCTCTATAGAAATCCATGGTGTGCTTACAGCTTGTGTGCAGATGTGGTCACCTCACCTCAAACAGGATAGCTTGGCTTTAGAAAAAGTTCAGAAAATGGCAAAGAAAATGATGAGGGGTGTGGAACAGCCACCGTATGAGGAGAGATTAATACGACTGGGACATTTCTGCTTGGAAAAGAGACGACTAAGAGGAGGATAGGATAGAGCTCTATAAACTCATGAGTGGTGTGGAGAAATTGAATAAGGAAGTTATTTACTTGTTCCCATAACACGAGAATTAGGGGGTCACCCAATGAAATTAATAGGATTCGAAGAGAAGGATATTGGCGGTCGAGAGGAGTTGTTATAGAAAGATCCTGAGAACAGGATGGATGCAGAAGGTCACCAATGAGGAATTATATAGGAAGATACAGCCGAAAGAGAACCTACTGCAGAAGGTTATACAATGGAAGTTACAGCTATTCGGGCATATCTGCAGAATGAACAACAAGCGAAAAGTTAAGACCCTGGTATCCGTCATAATGGATGGTCCGAATAGGAGAGGCAGACCCCACAGAGAAGGGGTAGATGATATAGTAGATTGGAGCAGAGCTAGTCTACAGAAACTAAGCCACTCTGTACTGGACAGGGAAAGATGGAAGAAAATAGTGAGGGAGGCATCAGACACCAATGGGCATTGAGCCCATGGTGGTTGATGATGATGATGAGGAGGAGGTGTAAAATATACAAAAGGGAGTGCTTCTTCACACAGTGCACAGTCAATCTGTGGAACTCCTCACCAGAGGATGTTGTAAAGTCCAAGATTATAACAGGGTTCGAAAAAGAATGAGATAAATTCATGGGATCCATCGATGGCTATTAGCAGGCTCGATAAACCGCGGTGAAATCCACTCACCAGCCCCGCACCGCGCATGCACCGACCTGCACTGCGCATGCGTGCACCGCCGGTGAATGGGGCCACCAGCTGAAATCTACTCGCCATGGGTGAGGCGATAAACGGATTTGGCGAGCCCTGGCTATTAGCCAGGACGGGTAGGAATGGAGTCCCTCGCCTCAGTTTGCCAGAAACTGAGAATGGGAAACAGGGGAGGGATCACTGGATGATTCCCTGCTCTGTTCACTCCCTCTGGCACTGTCGGCAGACAGGACACGGGGCTAGATGGACCTTGGATCTGCCCCAGTGTGGGAACTGAAATCTGAATGTGGATGCTGGCCTGGGCCCAAACGAAATCAGAGATTTGACCTCCTCCAACAAATCCAGAAACAGGATTTATAAATCTGGAGCCACCACGTGGGGCCGGGGAGTTGACGGGCCCCGTGAATCAGCTTCCCAATCCCAGAAGGGCTAAGCGGTACCTGCGTTCCTTGGTTCCAGCACTACAATTATAGCCTGGCCTGCCCTGGGCTCGGTTACAAGGCGAGATCCTATTTCAATCCCATCGCAGCAGTGGCTACAGCACTTACCCGCCTGGCCACGCTTGCTTTTGATTCCCGCTGAAAATCTAACTGGACCCTTGGCAAATCCACCAGCTTGCTCCCCATTCATGCGTAGGTCGTAAGTCCCCTGCACTCACCCCCTGACCCCTGCAAGTTCTCTGACACGGAGCATCAGCCGGGCGGGCGGCAGGACGGCAGCCTCCGTTCTTGGAGGGTCAGTTGCTGGGAGCCTGGCTGGAGCAGCAATTGGGCAGAGAAGCCCCAGAGTACCGGAGTGACGGAAGCAGGACTGGCCTTAAGGCTGGGCAAACTGGGCCCATGCCCAAGGCGCCATAGCCAGAGCAGGAGGGAGAACTGGGCATGGCTGTTGCCGGGCGCAGGGATGGAGGGAGCCAGGCAGCAGGGCTGGAAGCGCAGGGCCGGGGTTCAGGGCACAGGTGGGAGGAGAGTGTAGGGGTTAGGATGAAGGGTGCCCTGTGCAGAGGTTAAAGGGGGCACAGGATGGGGGAGCCCCTGGGTACCAGGGAAATGGGTGGTGCTAGGTTCACAGGGGTGGGGGCACCAAAACAGAAGTTTTCCCAGGGCGCCATTTTCCCGCAGGCGAAGGGAACATTCTATGTGCAATCTGCTCCCGTGATGGGCGCCACTGAGGAGCGGGGGGTCTCCGGGCCCTGCCCCGCATCGACAGCCAGACGAGACTCTTAGCTGGCAGGTAAAACAGAGCCAGGGCCCCGTCCCCGCATCCTAAGCCAGCCCAGACTAACTCACTCACCCAGCAACAGGTCCCAGCCCGGCAGGCAGCGCCAGCTCCTCCTTTGTCCATCTTACTCGGCATAAGGTGTCACCTGGTTACACCCTCCTCCCGGGCTCTGGTTACAGGAAGCCTGGGCTGTTCACACTGGGACTGGAGCAGCCTCTCTCAGGGAGAGTCACTGCTGAAACTCCCATCCCCGTCTAGATAGTGGGGCTGTGCCCAGGGAAACTGAGGCACGCACATGGAGTTACGACAGGACAGGAGAAATTATATGCAACATAAAGTGAACAGAGTGAAAACAATCCCCCTTTCATGG